TGATCAACCAATCACAATGAAGATATGACTCCTAACTTAATCTGATTGAGCTACAGGCGTCACAAAAGAGAGACATGACTAACCAGCTAGACAAGAAGAGGAGGAAGTCCACATTTTACCTTTTATATGCAGATTTATGTTTATGGTAGCCTCATCAACTTGCACCTATTATACAATTAAGACTATCAAATGATAATATTCAAAGTTATTTTGAAGATCTTTCAGAGTTGCAGAACACAGGATTAAAAAAAAAAAAAGTAATGTCCATCGCAATGGACATCAGGTCTTGTAAGATATCAGCAGCACCTCATGAATTAGTTGTATAACAGGTTGAGAAATTTGTGGAAGCATTTCAAAGCTAAATACAGAGCTACAAACTCTAATGTTAATGTTTTATGAACATTGACGTTAATTAATGAAATTAATATTAGTATGATTTCATTTATGTCATCAAAGTGACCATAGCATGCCAATCAACTTTTCATTGGTTTTAGTGAGAAACTGCCATAGTGGATGTGAGATCAGTGAATACACAGCAACACACACACTCACACCCCCTCCACACACACTGATGCCTTGATGCTATAATGCACACAATCATATATTCATCAAAACAATCAGCAAGTACACATGTACCCATTCACATACACACAAAGACATTTATACATATACTCAGATTCACCCACTTCAACCAACAAAAAGGATCAAACAGGTTTTTTTGAGACTTCATATCATCTTACCTTTTTTCCCCCACATTTTTACTGCATTGTTCATTCTTATAGTATGTGTTCTTTTCAAAATCTTAATCACTAGTTCAACTATAGTGCACAAGCTCTACTTATTATGTATGGTTAAAATATGGGGATTTTTATTTTTCTTCAGTCCTGGTGTCCATTATAGTGGACATGAAAAAATCTAATAAAAAAACGAGTTGGCACAAATCTTGTTTTTTTAGACTTATTTCTATATTGGAGAAGAGCAAATATCAAGTGGATGACATTTTTTTTGTTCAGTGAAAAAAATTCAGCTCTGAAGGGGTTAAAAAGTGTCTTCATGCTTGAAAAAAAAAAGTTCTTTTAAGAACTGTTCACTGAAAGCTTCTTTGGGGAACCAAAAAAAAAAAAAAAAGTTCAAATAAAGTGTTGCTAAACTGTGTAATATAAAGTTTAAAAACCTGATTTGAGTGATTTTGACAGCAATACACATTTATATGAACATCAAAATAAAATAAAATAAAATAATGCTAGAATAAATAAAAATGAAAATAAATAAATAAATAATGCTAGAATAAGTAACAATGTGGCAAATTTAGCCTAAATTAAGCTGTAAAGCTGAAGGGGCTATGGTTTAGGAACAAATAAAATTGAAATTTTTTAAAATATTTTATATATATATATATACTCTATATGTACAAATTTTGAAAAGTGAAATGAGCTATTTTAGCAAACATTTTTTATAATAAAAAACAGACATTTGATGTGTTTAAAATATACTTTTCATGATAGTTTAATAGCATATTAGATCATATTTTATCTAATACACTGTAATTATTTATATAAAACATCAAATTATTTTTGAACTTTTAAATAAAACAAGGATTATTGGAGCATGTTTTACAGGAAAATATTATTTCAGTCTTTCTAATTTCAAAAATGTTCTAACTTCAAAATTGAATTCAATGTGTTACTTGCCATTACTTTGTAATTAATTGTGAAATTTACTAGCAATTTTTGAGAATTGTTTCAAATAAAAAAAGTTCAGTGAAATTATCACAGAAAAAAAAAAAACATGGGATCTGTGTCTCTAATGCTTTTTTTTTTTTTAAAGCCATGGGACATCAAAGTATATTGTATTTAGTGCCTTCAGTATTATCAGATAAATACCATCAAAACCATGAACAAAATTATATACAGTACATGCTTCAGCACATCCCTTTCTTGCCAGCTGGGTGATTACTAATAGCAATTCAATCTGTGAGTTTTTCACCTCTGCAGTTGTGCAGCACAGCAAGGTCAATGACCAGTGAGATGGGCATTCAATAAGACATCAGCAGCAGTATACTGTATATCACCACAGACAGCAGATGAACTCTTCAACCTCTAGCTAAAGATCAGCCTTCACCTCAGTAATGATGTGCTTCCCATTGCAGTGGAATTATGCGTTAAGTCCAAATTGGGATCATGAAATTTCATTCCCCCCCCCCTTTAATTTGCTTTTAGATCAAGACAAAATAGGACATACAGAAAAGCAGTGCAAAATAGAAAACATTGCTGTAAATGTAAAGCAAGTCTGAACAAACCAATTAAGCCAAAACAAAAGCACAAACAATGAAGTTAAATTTACATGTAATTATGTGAAGTGTTGGTGAAAGATTACTATGTATACTGTATGTGTCGTACACCTCTATATCTTGTATATTAAGTAGATTATTCGAGACAGACAGAAAGAGAGAAGAAAGAAAAAAAGGGGGGAAAGTGGGAGCGAGAAGAAGAAGGAACAAAACGTATAAAATAAATAATAGATAAAGAGAGGAAATGAAGAAATAAAGAAAATAAAAGTAAAATAATAACGATAACGAATAACTGGGGTGGGAGGAGGTGGGGGGACAATTTAATTAATTTATTTAATAATAAAAAAATCCAGCAAATGAAAATAACCAAATAATAATTGGAATAATAAAAATAAACAAATAAATAAATAAATACAGAAGTGGGAAAGAGAAGAAAGAGAGTGAGAAAAAAATGGTTGAACAAATAAAATAAAGATGAGTAAATAGATAAAAGTAGTAATAATAAAGAGATAGAAATTAATTTATAGATTATAATTTTGTAGCTACATTTGTTGGGTGGAATATTTCTCCAAAACAACAACAACAACAACAACAACAACAGTATAATAGAATATAAACATTATCTTGCTTGGAAAATGTAATAATAATAATAATAATAATAATAATAATAGTAATAACAGTTAAATCAATGACAGTTTATCTACATGTTTATATCCATAAACTAATGTAGAAATATATATATATATATATAACATAATATGCATATCATATACATATAAATTCATATTTCCATTCATATTTCCATTCCCCATACAATATCTTATAATTCTATGAAATTCACATTTAAAGAGTTTGACCTTTGACAGGATATGATAGATTTCCGTACTAAATCCAACTATATTTCAGTCTGTCGATAAAAATAAACCATTTTCCTTTTATATTATTTATTACTTTATTATTTATTATTATTATTTATTATTTATATTATAATATTTCTCTGAATAACCGGTAAACTCTGATAGCATAATAATGGAGTATGGATTACATGAAATAAATCATCCATCTATAGTTTATTTATTCAGCTCATTGTCAGAAAAGAAGCCCAGAGTCTGCAGTCATTCTTGTGTAAGTTGACACTATTATTATTTTTTTTTTAATTTTTCAACCCCTGACCTTTTCCTCACACCTCACTGTGTTCATGGTCAAAGAATTATCAGGTAATTATTGTAGGAAGTTTGGGTCTAAAACTTAAATACACCCAACAATTACAGCACAATAAAACTGGACGTAATTATAGTCTCATGACTTTATGATTTTTATAGATGATTATATTTTTGTCTCTGCAATTTAGACAAGTGTATTAAAAATACAGCTGTGCAAAGCACAAATAATTGGAGCCTTGCTTATATGAAACAGCAGTTGTATGCTTTTCATGCAACAAAAAGAAAAGTGTAAATGAAGGTATGAGTCAATACTATATGTCCAAGTGAAAAAGAAGCACACTTTAGCATACTTTTAATGTGAATGTAATGTTTTCAGACACTTAATTGCATGTTATTTACAATTTAAATGAAAATGTATTATAATTTATATCAAATGCAATCATGTGAACTTTAGAGTTCTTTTTTGACACAATGAGGTAGGACTTAAGTACCTTTAAGTATCTTTATATGTAATTTCATAATTACTTTTATTGAAATATGGTTAAAGTGCTGAATGTACTGACAAGCATTTATGGTTTTCTAAAATATGTTATTTCTTTTAAAGTTATGTATTTAAATATATTTGTAATGATGAAGATACAATTTAGTACATGTATTATGCATGGCAAAAGATAAAAACATGACAATGATTTTTTTGGTGTGTGTGTGTAACAGAAGAAAGACACTCATACAGGTTTGGAACAACATGAAGGTAAAGTAAATGATATAAAAAGTACATTACAAGTACATGTTTAATAAAATTAAGCACACATATTTTTCATAAAGGTACCTTTGCAACATTGCACACAAATCTGATTCGGTTTTCAAATCTGATCTTTGGGACTGACTGTCCACAGTGTAATTTTATAAGTGATGAAATCTGATCCATTCAGACAGTGTCCTCAATATCTTGGTTGCTATAGTAATCACTTCAGAGTCAGCACACTGCTAAGAGACCTAACAGTCATTGTGGAAGTGCTCAGAAAAACACTTTCCCACATGATTCAGAATAAACTCATTTTACTTGGAAACTGTACATATAGACAACATTAACACAGGGCAGGTACAGGCTATATGGAGAGTTTAATTTAGGTATTTACTTAATCTTAATCTTAATCTTTGGTATTAATGTAGTCTCAATTACTTCAAAACCACTATGTCAATTAAGCAAGGCCTTACAAAATGATGATGTGCAATGAAAACCAGTTTGTTTTAGAGCTTGATAGCCACTACTGTAATAAATAAATTGAATTACATTAAATAAATAAAAACAAAGTCTCTAAAAGCTAATAAGTATTTATTAAATTAAATTAAAAATTATTCTAAATAGTTAACCCACTTACGCCATCTAATGTTACGAAATATACACTACTAGTGCATACGTTTACTTGTGTTGATGGCGTAAATAATCTAAATTCGTGTTTGATATAGTTTTTTTGTGGGTTTTAAATAAATTTCATATTTTATAATAATGCTGTGATGTTTTAGACGACAGACATGAATACATTAATTTAAGCAATTCATTAATTTTAATCAGGCACAAATTGGACAACCTCCCTGTTCCTCCATGTGTTCAAGCACCCCTCAAGATGTCCATGCTTGCCGAACGTGAGTTTACAATTTGGAATGTATTTTAGGATATTTTTTATACGTTTTAAAATATTAGTTGCCAATTTTTGTAAGATTGTATTAGGAATGTATTTGATTGATGGTATATTGGTATATTAAAGTTGTTATTGCATTCCTTCACGTTGTTTAGCATGTTTGCTAGCAGGCTAGCAATCGTGGCTCTTTATATCATATACGTATATTCAGCTTTATACTGTTCCGCATAGACACAATACACTTGTGACATTTCTAACGTAATATTTTCTGATACAAACGTAACATGAAAGTGGATGTTTTATTATTGCAGTGGTTTAATATGTAGAGTTTGTAACATGCTTCTTATAATTTTGATATTTCATTAGCTCGTCGTAAACAGAAGTGGTCTGTGGACCCCAGAAACAGCGCATGGAGCAACGATGAGTCCAAATTGGGACAGAAAATGCTGGAACGCATGGGCTGGTCCAAAGGAAAGGTAACAGGCTTAACATTTTATAAAACAATATGCGTCAAATTTCTGTAGTGAATATAAATTTTTAGCTCAAAATACCTCAAAATTAAAAGGCGTTCGAATACTGCAGAGAATTGTGGTCCATTTGACAGATGACACTTTCCATGTCAGCTGCCACATCAGCTTAAAAATGAAACATTCTGTTATGAATTATTGAAGAATGATTAAATGCTGCCAAGATAACATTATCTAGCTGGCTGGCACAGATGAGGAGTTGATTGGAAGTTGTTTAAATTGCAGTAGTATTTGTGATAGTCTTAACATGACCAAACAAAATTGTTAAAAAATAAAAAAATAAAAAAACACTTATTTAATTATTTCTTTGTTTGTGATAGGGCCAGTCAAAGTGTTGTGGGCTGGCTAATAAAAAAACCTTTATTTGTTAGGCCTTAGGTCTGTCTGTCTATTTATTTAAGGCCATCTTTTTTCCTGATGGCTTCACATTTGACATTTCAGAATGGAATGAGAATAAAATCAGTTGAAATCAGTTTTCCTCGTTTCACTTGAAAGGTAAAAATCAGTTAACTGTAATAAAAGAAATCTCCACTTCTTGTTTGTGTGGAAAGGTAATTGTTCTTCTAATAATGTCATAATTTGTGTGAGTTTATGTGTTTTTCTTTGTTTTTTTTGTGGCAGGGTCTTGGCAAGAGTGAACAGGGGGCTACAGAACACATCAAGGTTAAAGTCAAGAACAACAGCCTGGGTCTGGGCACTACTGCAAGCAACGAGGTGAAGAATCATTCCTGTTTTCTTGGTTTTTAAGTTGCTGTGTTCGGTGTTTGTTTTTTGTTTTTTGTTTTTTTTGGTCACATCAATCTTTTTTTATTTATTTTTATTAGGACAACTGGATTGCCCATCAGGATGATTTTAATCAACTCCTTGCTGAGCTTAACAGCTGCCATGCACAGAACAACACTGATAGTAAGCTGAATTTTAAACATGGAGTGCAAAGCACCATTTGTGTTAAAGCACCATTTGTGTGTAAAAAAAAAAAAATCAATTTATTGACCAGTGAGAGCAGAACAATTGAACTTTTTGATGTTTGTCATTGCAGCTTTGAAACATTTTATTTCTCCCTAATGTTCACTAGGTGGTGCTATTGTGATGTTAAAATAACACGAAACGTGCTGTGATCATTGTCATGTTGAGAACAATCTGGTTTTCATTTCTCTTAAGCATTAGGTGTGTGTCAGTCTTATGTTTAAAATCTTATGTGTGATAACACATTTTTTTTGTTAGCACATTTTATTTTTTAATTTCTTCTGTTTTTGTATACTTTCAGACCCCACACAGGAACAGGGTTTTAGTTTGGAAGAAAAGTCAAAGACATCCAAGAAAAGGGTCCACTACATGAAATTCACTAAGGGTGAGTCATTCAGTGTCACGGTTTCTTGCAAATTAAGCATTATGCTACAGGACTTTATTCTGAGAAAACTTTGCTGTGAAACAGTGGTTCTCAACCTTTTTGACTGCAAGGCCCCTCATTGTCCACAACAATATTCATACAATAGGTCTCATGAGTTTTTCCTGTTTTTGTGTGCGCGCTCTGGTTTCGAATTACAAAGCCAAAAGTTTTTATTTACAACATGTCTTGCAGTGTTGAGTTTTGTAGCCAATCACAGGCATCTCTGTTGAAAGCAGTGGCCAGTCAGAGGTGTTTACTGTAGGTTAGTCAGAATCCGCTCTGATCTAATTTTTGTTTTAGCAAGTTTGCGTAGTTCTACACGTTCACAGATCTATTATAACAAGACATAAAGAAAGCTTACACGATGTAAATAAGATATTCATTGTATAGATAGTTATTGATTATATCAGGAGTTTCCGCGTGAGTAAGCTTGGTCAGTTACGCTATAAGCGCCCTTTGCTCGGTTTTTACTTCATTCACAGTTCAAAGAAAAGTGTAAGAGAACCAAACGTATACTGTTTCAGGAATGACCAACGCGAGTGTAAAAAAATTACGCGAGTGAATCCGCAAAATGTATCTGCGATTGACGGTGATACCTGTAGCAATGATGGAACAAACTATCTGACAAGCCGATGTCAAAACAGAGCTGTGCTTTAAGTGATGCAGAGTAAATTCAGAGTAGCAAAACTACAGCAGCAACAAGTCTGTGTTGCCTTTAGCAGCTTCTACAGGTAAAGATTACTTAAAGCACTCTTTTTGATGTGTCCTTTTTTAGGCAGTGTTTGAAAAATTTTGTTTTTAAATTAAATAATAATAAAAAAACCCAAAATATTTAATGCATTATTTAATTATTATACCATTAATAATTAACTTAATTTGTAGTTAACTAGTTAAGTATTTAAATAATTAACCCTGCTAGACTGTTGGTGTCTGGGCTTATTTATTTATTTATTTGCTATACTTCATAGCCATTTTATAATAAATCCAAAAGCAAGAAAACCTAGGGTCACCTTTTTCACCCATGATGAGTTTGCATCCCTTGTGATATAAATTGGACAGGGATTTTTAAATAAAAATATTATTTTAAAATGAAAATTTTTAACATGTATATTTTTCTCACAATTTGTACCCAATAAAATATTTCAGAGCTTAGAAGTCGTACTTTTAAATTTAGGCTTTCTAATATATTCAGAATTTTCAAGGCAGTGGGAATCCTGGTTTTTCCAAAGAAAAAAGGCTGTTTTTGAGTGAATTGAAATAAGTATCTTGATTTTTGTTGTTTGGTCTTATTTTAATGCTTGTTTTGTCATCTTGAGGCTCCTTGGACGTTAACCAAAGCCCACTAGTGGCCAGGTTGAGAACCACGGCTGTAGAATGCAGCTCTCTACGGACACCTTGGCAATTGAATCACCATTGGCTAGTAAATTTGTTTAGTTTACTCGCCAAACTGATATACTATATATGGATATGTATATTATTTATATATATATATATATATATATGTTTGTAAAATAGCACAGCTTTTTAAATATGAAAGTACACTCTTAAATCAGTCAGTCAAGCATTATAATATGATATTATGATAATCAAGTATCATTTAATGATAGAACTTTAGTAATTTGAATTAAAACTTGGTAACCATAATCAAGTTTTAATGATAGAACTTTAGTAATTTGAATTAAAACTTGGTAACCATATATATGAATGCATATTAGTCATTTTAACTAAACTTAGGACTGGTGGTGGTGCTTTTTTGGTCATTCTGTGTTTCTGTAAAAAAAAAATGGGGAAAAACTAACAATAACACTGGTAAGATAATCTACGAATTCTACTAATAAGAACAATATAAAACGCACTAAGGGTTAACGAGCTGCTGGATTCATGAATATTAATCAGGTTGTGTGCATTCGCTGGAATTGATTTGCTGAAATCAAAACAGGGACCATAATAGGTGAGCGCCAGCCAATGAGATTGCCGTTTGCGCATTAGTTCCGCCCACTACCAGAAAACCCGGCAGTTCTTAAAAGCTGAAGAATTCCAAATGAACTCCGTTACTTTTACAGGAAAATACAGCAAAGAATATCGTTAACATGTAGCGCGTCAATTCTGCAAGGTATGTAAGACTCTCTCGTGCGTTCTCTCTCTTTGCGTGTGAGAAAAAAGCAAAGCGAAGGCGAGTCGTGCGCCTTCACACTAGAGTTTACGGTACGCGAAACAGGTGCTCTGCGCATCCATTGAGATGAACTGAAAAATAGCATGGATCGCTTGATGGAGAGAGAACTCTGAAGCATTCAGTCAGTGTTCGGCGAGTGAAAATAAAATATATCTGTGCTTAACTTATACTTAGCATCCAACTCACACACTGGTGAGTAAAATATGAGAATTTATTAGCCAGAGGCTAATATTAGACATCATTTAGTCGCCCAGAGTGATTTACTCGCAATGTAGAGGGTTGAGAATTAATAGTTTTCTCCTTACAATTTTATTTAAAATAAGCAAAAATAATAGTTGTATAGTTAATAATAATATTATTTGCGGGCACATGTTAGGTGATTGACCTTTTCACAAAGAAATCACTTGAGTTCATCCATCACTTCCTGTGTTCAGTAGCTGAACTTTGTATGCTTTGGCTTATGTAGTAAAAGCTCACGGGTCACCGCTGCAGTAGAACAGCATGATAAAATTGTGCGGTCAGCTTAACCAGAAGGCCGTGCCGTCCCTAGTACAGAACGTCACTTCATGATTCTCCAAGTTTTCTGACTATCATGTAGACAAACAATTAACCTGAGTTTGATCTGGCAGTTGAACGATCTCCCTGAATGTTTTGTCACGTACTGGTGAGTGACCTCTGCTGAATGGCTCACATCCTTCCCAGCATGGAAAGCAGGGCGGCCTGATGTTTGTTGGTGGTCTTTATGAGTGGGAAATTTATTTGCCCTCAGGTTTTATATTCTTGATGCTTTGACATTTGTAAGGGTGGTATTTTTAGACATTGTCTCATTTTCCATGATGGATGTTTTTAAAAAATGTCAGGAATGTTGCGAAAAACTCGTTGTCTCTTATCACCTGAGAGGACACCGTAGCATACCGCTCCTAAGCTTGACTTCCTGTTTCCTGTGAGGAGCACAGGCCAGCACACTCACTTCTCAAAATGGCCTCAATCAGCACCTGATGAGTCCCACAGATGACACCGCATCCAAAACAATGTTAATGTTTTTGTCGTCGTTGTCTCTGTTTTCAAAGTCTTTGTTTAACTACAAGAAGGAAGACCGTACTCTCAGTGGATGTGTCTCATGTCTAATGAGACGGACTGGACATCTCACACACAACCTCATCACGACCCCCTGTGGTAATTGGGCACCTCACTAACCTCATGTCTGTGACCTCAGCTCAACTCTGATTGGTTATGTGGCTGCCCTTTGCCTCCATAAGTCACATTTTGTGCTATTTTCAAGCTCATTAGTAAAAGTGTTTTTTCTACTCTTGGTATGATTGACGTTACACATTTTGAAAACGTAACCATTTAGAGGTTAACAGTAAAAGGTATTCATACATTTTGCAATGCAATTCCTCTGAAATCCTCTTTGATTATGATTTACAATAATGACAAATGAATTCTCGGAAGTAGACTCTGTTCTCTTAAGGTGTGAAGTCTGTAATTTGATCAATATCAGTTTGTTCAAGGTTTATGTTGCTGTATCTGAAAGTGGAACTAAGATGTCTTTGACAAACATGACACTGGTTGTTACGACTGCTAATGGATTTCAGATTGTTGTCATGGCAGTTGGCTTGTTGTCAGCATGTCAGGGTTCCGCCTATCTCCCCTGTGGAGGCTTTGTTGAGTGGATCACCTTTTGCTGATATTGGTTGCTCTGTAACCCATAGATGGCCTCACCCTTTGTACGTTTCCTGAGTACGCCTCACCCAAACTTGCCAGGTTAAGGCCTTTAATTGATTTAACAGATAAACTAGTTATATCTAACGCTTAAAAGTGTGCCACTCATTTTAAAGTAAATGTAAAATGTAAATACTTCAGTTAGTCTGGAAACCATTAAACTCTCTTGTACACCAGTGTACCATCATCATAATATGCTTAGATGCTTGCTTGAAATATGTTATGAAATAAAGATTTGGGGGTCAGTGTTTAAAAGTTTTTAAAAGAAGCCTCTTGTGCTTACCAAGGCTGCATTAATTAATTCAAAATACAATAGAACCAATAATATTGTCAAATACAATGTGAAATAATATTTTTTCTTTTTGAGTATAATTTAAAATATAATGTATTCCTGTGATGCAAAGCTGTGTTTTCAGCATCATTAATCCAGTCTTCAGTGTCACATGATCCTTCAGAAATCATTCTAATATGCTGATTTGCTGCTTAAGAAACGCTTCTTATTATTCTAATTATCAGTGTTGTAAATGGTTGTGCTACTTAATATTTTTGTAGAAACCGTGATACATTTTTTAGGATTCTTTGAATTGACAATTCAAAAGAACAGCATTTATTTGAAATAGAAGTCTTTTGTAATATTATAAATGCATTTTGTCACTTGATCAAATTAATGCATCCTTGCTAAATAAGTATTCATTTATTTTCAAAATAAAAAAAATTAAATACTGTCCCCGAACTTTTCAATGGTACTGTAAGAATATCTGTACAAAAACCTTTTACTGTCTTATGTACTAGTGCTGGGCGGTATACCGGTTCATACCGAATACCGGTGTTTATTTTTGTTACGATGTGAATTTTTAAAATACCGCAATACCGGTGTATCAGTTGGTTCAGTTGGAAGATTTCACCAGGGCTGTCCCGCTAACGCGAGGTCTGACTTTCCCGGAGAAGTGTCACCTCTCTCTGCGTCTGTTCTGTGCAGTGAGCGGCAGAGACGCAGCGCATTCAGTTGGCCGCACTGCCGCCGACTCGTCAATAAATGAGTACAAAACAGCGTTTCCTAGCCCCTTACAGTATATGTGTATTTATTTATTTACTTGCTTGCTTATTTTAGAGTGGACCAGCAATTACAGCTTTTATCTAAGCAAAGGGTTGTTATTTTGTAGAAAATTTAAATATTTTTTAATAATAATTTTCTTACTTTTATTTAATAATTTAGATGACTTTACTTTTATTCTAAAAAGAGTAATACTGTGAGTAATTGTCATCTTTTGACTATTAACAATCTTATATGTAGTCTGTAGAGGTCTATTGGTGTTGAATATCCTCTTGGTGCTGATTATCTTTTGTCAGGAAAATAAAGTGGAAAGTGTAGTGGTGGTGGAACTGCATATATTTCTTTCAGTCTTAAGATGTTTTGGACTGGTCCTTTAGAATGGAAGCAAATGTAACCCTGCTCTAGACAGGATGGAGGTAGCCGTGAGGTTGCTTGTTTCAAAGATTGATGGCTTTCAGAACAGGAGAAAGGCACCAGCGTCTCCAGCGCCCATCTCAGACATGAGCAGCGTAAACCAGTAACCCAGATTTAATTGGCTGCCCATTTATCAACTGATCCAGTACTTCTTGATGTGCGTTGAACTGCAAGCACTTCATCATCTGAGTGGCTGAGTGGGTCAAGCTGTTACACAGATGAACGGAACAATTTTGACCCCCTTCATTAATAATTGACATGATTTCTTTTGAGAATCAAACCAGTGCATATAATATTTTCATCATTACTATTTCCTGCTCAGAGAGTTAAAAGAACACCCCTCATCTTTTTTTTGTCACCTTCACTTCTTGTTCCAGAAAATCCTTTTTCCTTGTTCATTTAATGGCAACTGAAAAGCTTAGAACTTATCCAGGTGTCTTTTGAGGCAGTCAATTAGTATTTCGCTTGTCAGATTAGCAAGTCGATCCGAAAAAGCCTCTGTGATTGCTAATCTGGTTTGGCCAGAGTTCTGTCACATTCGTTACCTTCTCAACGGTGACCTTGCTTCTAGGGCCCTATGATTTTTTTCCCATATTCAGTTTTTTTTTTTTTTCCAAATTCTGTTTTTTTCTGTTTTAATTTTCTGTATTCCATTTTTTCCCCCATTTTAATTGTTCTAAACTCTATTTTAATGGTTAAATTAAATTGTATTAATCAAAAAGCATGTCTAATTAATTGAAATCATAAAACATACACAATTTAACAGCAATTTACAAAAGTTTAACCAAAATTACATTTTTCAGGCCCTATGAAATATGTTTTATTTTTTCTCAAATTCAGTTTTAACCAAATTCTGTGTTTTCCATACATTTTCTGGATTCCATTTTAATGGCTTCATTAAATTTTAGTAATCAAAAGCATTTATAGTTAATTGATTTTATTAAAAAATAATTTATTGTGATTATTATAATTTTTTTTTCCAGAAATACTGTGTTGTGTATTCTGGTAAATTAAAAAAATGATGTTTTAATAATATATTTTTTATTATTTTTAGTAGTAATATGATTACATTAAGTAATATATTTCTGTCACAGTTTCTTCAAGTTAAACTGAACTTTTATTTTGACGGGTTGCTGTGATGACCTTTAAGTTCCTGTTTGTATGATATGATGATAGTTTTTCTCACAAGAAACTGTAAAATGCTCATGCAGTGACTCTCAGAGCAGTTCTACAGATTATGTTCATGTGGTCATGTACTCATATATTGAGACGGCAGAGTCTGAAAACACCGCAAGCGGTACACGCACTTCAGTAACGTTATGTGTGTAGTAAACGAAACCGCGCGTCTGTGCCATTCATTCACACAGAGACACGCAGAACATACAATCTTCATATTTAAATAGTATATTTGCAGTTTAATATTCACAGACATTAGTCCATATCACGTTTTCATTTAAGTGTACTGACCTACTTTTGATTTATGAAAATTTGGCAAATTCTGTGACATTCCGCATTATACATAAATTTCGTTTGTATGACCTGATTCCATCCGCATCCACCTTGCTTCCAGTAGGATTTCATTACCTTGTGTGCACTGGTAGACTATACTGCCACTAGGGTTGTGATGGTGACGAAATTTTAATCGACGTGTAACAACACCGGTAGTACCGGTATCACCGTGGGGGTGGCGGCGGGGGCGTTCCCTCTTTTCCTCGCTTTCCTTTGCTTTTAAATAGGTTGTAAAAGCGCCGTGCGTATTTTACTTTCACTTTCGAATTAGTGGCAGTTCGGCGTCAATTGCTTGAATGCAACAACAACATACAACGTCA